AAAAAATGTCTAAAAAAAATGGGTGGATACATTAGACATTAAGAAAATGATTGCCCATGTTTCTATAATCAAATCTCCATAAATCTCCCCATGTCTGTCCTTGAGACAGTATTTTTCTCAGGTATCCTGCTCAAAATTCCAGGTGGTCTTTTACAGTCACCTCTTACTTTCTGCTGTTCTTCTGCTTTTCACTACAGCCGGTAAGTCCAGTACAGTCTATTTTTCATTCACACCATTTTGTTAGTTCCTTTCCTTCAATTCCCATTGTTATCACACTAGTTCCCACCTAATTTATATGTAACCAAATATTTTTCAATGGCTAAGGGGCTGAGAGGGAAGAGCGTCTTCTCTCCCTGGCCCCCTATAAAGCACAGCAGTAAGGAAAGAGAGAAGTACCTGGTCTCTCATCTCTCACTTTGGGGTGTGAGTGAAGAGGAATGGTAGTGGATTTTGTCACACTGGGGTAGCAAACTCATGATCTTGGGGGGACCTTCTACTGAGGGTCCAGCAACAGGAATATTTTGAATGGTTCTCCACCCAGCAGTGTCCCAACAGATATATCCTTACTCTGGGGCAGAAGAAGCAAATGTACTGTACGTTAAACTTGGAGACCATGGAAGTTTGCTTATTTGAGCAAAAGAAAAGAATATCAACTAGTTGCGTATAGGAAAAAGAATGCCTCCAAAATATATACAGTTTTGTTTTAAAAAGTTGTTTAAAGAGCTGCTATTTATTAAACAAGTTCTATATAATCTCACTGTAACTTAAATATATGATCTCATTTTATATCATAAAGTTATCTCCTTCCATTTTCACACCAATATATTCTTGTCTATTTCTATATACAAGAAAACTGAAATTCAGAGAGGCGAAGACAGTTCCTTACTCTTACATAGCTAGAAACCAGTGAGGTCAAATTTTAAACCCAGGCTGTTTGTTTCTAACATCCTTGACTGCAGTTCTTCAAAATCATACGTGAGCCCAACGTGACTGGGAAGTAAAGTGGTTTCTATTCTGTGAGTGGCAATCAAATTTATTTTCTTTGCTATTCTAAGCTATTCAGGACATTTTGTAAAAATCCTCTCCCAACTTAGAAAGTGCAACCCACCCCTCTCCCCGACCCAAGCAAAGTAGGTCTTTTTAGCTCTGTACTACCAGATAAGGACATGGAAACTCAAAAATGTCAAATAACCCATTGAGTGCCAATTGAACCAGTGTTGGGTGGGAATTCAAAATCAGGCATCTGGTTTCCCTTTCCCTGATGGAAGTCTTTAATAAGGTTATTTTTATATTAGTTAGATGTTTTTCAAAAAGAAAGAAGTCTACCACTCTCCTGCTATGTGAAAACATATACAAACAAATATAAATCCACATACACACACATATATATATATATATGAGTATATCTGTGTGTATGAAGGGATAATGATAATATTCTAATGGATATGCCCTGTATGTATCTTCAATGCTAGTATGCTTTGGACTTATAATATATCAGTAGTTATAATTGCTATAATTACAAAAAATATTAACAATATAATTGACCCCATGCCTGAGTTCTCTGGCATTCCTTCTTCCCAAAACACGTGGTCTTGCTGAAAGACATAACATATGTAGCTTGCAGAACAGATCCCATGACAATTCAATTCTTTCATTTTTATACCAGCCTGTTCTCATCTAATTTTATAGAAAGGAAACTGAAATTCAGAGAGGTCAAGACATTTTATTACTCTTACACAGCTAGAAAGCAATGGGGTCAAATTTTAAACCTGGGCTGTCTGTTCTCATCATCCTAGAATGTGTAGACATACATCTTTTTACATGGCCGTGCTTTTAGTTAATTCAGGTACCAGGTGAACTGATTTCTAGACAGTGTGTAAGATGAAACAGCTATAATGCACGATAAGCAAACATAAAGCATCACACTCATCCCTACTCCCTCTCCATGTAAATAGCAGCCAGGTTCTGTGAAGAACAGGTAGAGTACTGTGCTATCTATGAGTAGGGCAAAGGGAATGTCTGCATTATTTGAGTTGGTTCCTCACAAGCTGCCCAGACAGTGAGAACAAAGAAGGCCAACGCTGCAATCTGTTTTTATATGGCTGCTCACCACTGTAGTACCTCAAATGGGGAAAACATGCCGGTTCATCTCAAGAATGGGGAAAGGAGCCGTGCTGTGTGTCATCACTGATGGGAAGCACCGTCTCTTAGGTGTGTTCCATTTCATAATGATTCCAAGTGGTTTGACTTGTGTCAGTTCAGAATTTCTAATCTCTTTGACTTTGCATTTGTTTCCTCATGATCCTGCAGGTGACCAGGCAGATGCAGTCATGAGATCTGGGATTTTTGTTTCTGGTCTATTTAGAATGGAAGAACTGGAACAGAGCCACTGAGAACACGTGACTTTGAAAAACGCATGTGAATTTTAAAATGTGCCCCTGCCCCTTCTTGAGTGGAAGACAGGCCTAAGGAATCCCCCAGAATATGAATCTTCCCCCACTTGCTCCTTGGCTGGTCATAACCTGTTCATCATTTGCAGCAGCCCTGGTCCTGGAATTAGCTCAGGTTCTGGAAGTAATCAGGGGAACGGGAGATGCTTGTATATAGGGCTACAGGGCCTGTACATTTTCTTCTGGTGATGATTTTAATTAAGACCAAATGATTATAAAATTTCTAAAGGGCAACAATATTTTCCTCATAAAATATTTTAAAATTCACAAACATAATATTCAGCAACATGTTGAATTTTTTTCAAGAACTATATTATTGTGTTCCAAAAAGAGACTTGCACTTGCAAGATTTAAGTATTTCATGAATTTGCAAATTCTTCCATTCTATGGATTTCCTGGAGAAAGGCAAGAAAAGAGCCAAGATACAAAGAGAATTATCTCTCAGCTCAGTGTGAAGATTATCTTTCATGTCTTGAGCATGTAGTTGGTGGAACTGAGAAACACTGAGCATGTTCAGAGGGGTCAAGAAGCTTTGAGCAAGGACTCCAGAGGGTAATTCACTGACAGAGAAATCTTGCTGAATCTGAATTATTCCTAACTGGCATCAAGCACAGATACTACTTTAGCCTCCACTCCCTCAGCACCTGGAGTTCCGGCTGAGACCCATGCCTCCCACTGCTTGGGGCATCCCACCTGTCCATGGGTGGGCCAAGTTCTCCCAGATTCACAATGTTTTAAAAATCATTATTTTCTCCACATTTCTGGTCCTCCTTCGTATTTTCTGTTTCAACAAATGGCACCACCAGCCAGCTAGTCACCAAAGCCAGAAAACTGGAAGTCATTATAAAAGCCTCCCTCTCCTTCATCCATCCTCCATGTACAGTTGTCAACCTACCCTGTTGATTCCATGTCCCAACAAGCTCTTCAACCATTTACTTCTCCACATCTGCACTGCCACTCCCGGGATCCAGGTCACTGTTAACTACACTGGTGTGACTCCCTGCCAACCCCTCTTCACACCAAGCCAAAGTGAAACTTCCAAAGTGCCTTCTCCTTTTCCTCATTAGACACGAAACCACAAATGGTGTCTCCATCGGACTCCAGCCTCCTCCTCTCTTGAGCAACACACTGGCTATTTGATCAACACATCCTTCACTTCCTTTGCCTGGTGGCAGGCAGAGCCATTCTGTCTGTCAAGTCCCCTGGTACTGAGAGTGAGGGAAGGAAGCCTAAGACAGGCCTAAGGAATAGCAAGAACTTCCTAAATTAACTGTTCAACTAAATCGCAACCCAGGAGTTGAATTTCATTAATCACCCTGACATATGTTGGGTAGGAATAACATAAGGGATCTAGATTTTTGAATTATTTAAAATTAGAATACATTATGCAGGAGATCCCCTCTCTCACCCTCACCTCCCCAAAAATAAAACTAACCATCATTGACTATACTAATATATCATGACCTAGGAAAATAACTAAATGTTCTTGACATTACTACAGGTAGAAAGCATTAGTATACGACATAATAGCAAATCCTCTTTGAGCCCACTACAACATCTATGTTGGTGTTGTGAAAGGTTTCTGGCAAATTTATAAAAATGTGTAATGTTATCCTTTTTTGCCTAATCCCAGAGGAGAAGAGAAAGCCAACATATTAAAATTAATGATGTATATTTAGGCAGTCAGCTTATTGGACTCTTGCCCCAAACCAGAGAAAACCCTGGAAAATATATGGAAACATATGGAAAATTCCCAATTAGGGGAGGCGCTGGTGGGAAGAGACAAGGTTTCAATAAATAGCTGAAGCTGTCAGTTAACTATTAATGATTTCTCAGCATTTATTGAAACCATTTAAAAATAACCAACATAAAAATAAAAAGTGAACCATAAAACCAAGGAGCCTAATGTTCTTTGCTAAAAGTTCTGATTACTGAAATAATCCTTGAAGACAAACCCCTATTTTGATGTGGAATGCACAGAACATGAATTATCTATCAGCACTTTATGAATTTCAGTTTGAATTAGGTAATCAAGAAGAGTTTATGATTCTCATCACGAACCACTTTTTTGTTTTTTTCCTTAAAATATTCAGTCTATCTTTGGAAAGCTCCAAAATGCGGCTGGAAAATATTTATGCTCTAAAAACATGAGTCTTATGACAGAAAATGTTGAGGCTTATCTATTGATTAATTGGAACTGTGAACATAAATGGGAATTACTGGATTAAAATAAATTATTCTAGAAAGGTATCTGATGTACGCTGTCTTTGTCAATAGAGACAAAATTACTTCAGGGTTTCAGTGAAAACTGGGGCTGCAAAGTTGATAAGTTTTATGTCGACTGCAGCTTTTTAAACCATCTTGCCTCTTTAATGTTGTCTCTTGCCTGGAAAGGGAAAGTTTTGTTTTATTTTCCTTCAAATTCTTATGAAAGTGTTTAAGCTCGACCTTCGTCTTTATGAGAGAACTGCTTACACATGATCCACTCTCCAGAGAATGGACTCTTGCCAGGAAGCAGACTCTCACATGGGAAAAGGAAGAAAACCTTACCTGGGTAATCATTCTTGTCAATGTCTGAATCTCCTCTTAAAGAAAAGCCAAATCCGGAAGGGATGGTCTGGGAGGCCCACGCTCCTTGCAGCATCTGGGACGCTCTGGTGTTCAAGCCGTTCTCATTCCCGTTGTAAATGAGCACTTGGCCTCTTTGATCCTTGCCCGCAAAGGGCACACCGATGGCGATGTCTACAAATAGAGACATAGAAACATACTTTGAAATAAAGGAGAATGTTTTAGAAATCGATAAGGACAATCAAAGAGCAATATCTTGAAATCCAAAGGGTTTATTACATTTTTCAGGAGGAGGATTCAGTAGTACTGCAGCAACAGAAAAATTATCTGTTGCCTTTTATCCATCTGACAAGTATTGACTGACAAGTATTTATTTATTACATGTTGGGTGCAGTGGGTACAACAGTGAGTGGGACACTCAGTCTCTGCCTGTCTTCGGAAAATGTATGCTCTGGTGCAGGTAACAGACAATTTGAATGGAGACATAATAAAAAAAATATCAAAAGTGATGAGTGCTGTGTAGAGAATCTTAATGTTGATACAATTGGAAGTGGTGGGAGTGTTGTTTTAGATTAGGTGACCAGAGATGGCATTGCCATGTCTACAGAGAAACTGAAGCCTAGGGACAAGGAGGAACCAACCACATGAAACTTAGAGGGAAGAACACTCCAAGCGAAGTCAACTGCCCAAGGATGACCTATGGGGGAGCTTGGTAGGGAATGAGGAAACCAGGTCAGATCACAGATCACAGGGCAGGTGGACCAGATAAGTGCCATTGTGAGTACTTAAGAGTTGTTTCTTTTGAAAAGAAAAGAAAGAAAACACCTTGTTTTTAAAGATGATACTGTTAAATGGTTACCCAGTCCTATGAGCTAGGCAAGACTCATTTAATAGTCGAAGATTATTGGGGAACCTAGAGAGAACCATAGTACCTGACTCCCACTCACATACAGTTCACCTGCCTCATTGTTTTGCAGGTTTTTTCCTGAGCCATAAGTATAAATACATAATTGTATTTGAAAAAGAATACCCCCAACATGGTCACATAAGAGGCTATGGCAGTGGACCATGGCTCTGTCCCTTGTTTGTAACGTTCCTTCATTTCTCTTTGTTCCTAGGTCAAAGAGGTTACGGAATGAACTAGGACTCGGTTTCAATTACATTCATGAGGACTGTAAGTCTGCTTTCATTCAGCAGGTCAACATCAATGATCTCAGAATTCAGACCTCATAGAAGGGACATGGTAGTGGGGTAGGGTGAAGGCACTCTTCCTTCTCTTCCTCGGAGTCAGTGACTTGATTTCTGTCCCCTCTGTTAAGCTCAGGTAGTGTGGCATTATTTTACCTACTTAGGACTCCCAATCCCAAGGCTCAGAGTCTAAGACTCTTTTGATGGGGTTAAAAATGCTTCTTTTAGCTCTTAAAAGTATTATAAAGGGTTTAAGATAAAAAAATATATGAATACAATCAGTCATAGATAATTGTACATTATTATTTCACTTGGGTGATAGGAAATAATGCACTGTAAGCAGCAGCGAGTCACTTAAAGGGGAACTCGTCTTTTGTCAGTTCGTGGAGTCATAAGTTTTTAATATGTTTTCTGGTACTTTAAAAATTACTAGGGCTGGGATTGTAGCTCAGTGGTAGAGCACTTGGAAGCTACTAGGTTCGATTTATCGGCACCACATAAAATAAATAAATAAATGTATTATGTTCATCTACAACTAAAAATATTTTTTTAAAAAAATTACTAAACACACATTGCCCAGAAATACTCATTTCTTTTATGTTACTGGGGATTGAACCCAGGGGTGCTCTTTTACTGAGTTAAACCACCAGCCCTTTTTATTTAATTATTATTATTATTATTATTTTTTTGAGATAGGTTCTCACTAAGTTGCCAACACTGGCTTAAACTTGTGATCCTCCCAAGAAGTGGGGTTAGAGGTGTGCACCACTGTACTTAACTAAAATTGTATTTTCAAAGAAAGCATGAGTTGGATAGCACTTGTCAAAAGTACAAATGAATTCTGATCTGATGTGAATACTTCCAAGACTATTTTTGTACAGCAAGTTTCTGTTATATTCTCGGACTTTGATCTAGAAACTCACTCTTGGTTCTTAACTGAAAAGTCCTGAAAATGTCTATAAAATTTTGTGTGAACTTTCATATTTTTCTGAGAAGAGGATACTCAAAAGGCATCCATGACTTTCCAACCTAAAGAACTGCAACCCTACACCAGGAATTTAGCACTACTATATTGCAAACATTGAAAATGCCTTTAAATTGGAGTTTATAGACCAATCACATTTCAACATAAACTATATATAATCCATATAGGTTAGTCAGAAGACAATATATTTGCTAATATATCAATATGTATTTATTTGTCTCGACTCTTTACATACAGAAGATTCTCTAGCTGGCCTCAAGTCACTATTGAGAGCTATTGTGGGACTTCCTAAATTGAACATGAGAAAATTTCCATGTAACATCTACATTAGTCAAAACATAAAAACTTAAAAGTTGCCTTGAGATTTTAATAATTTATTAAAAACCAACAATAACAACTACACCACCTACACCACATGTATACTTTAAAGTGCCCATTGTTTCCTTGATGCAGCAGTAACATGAAATTATGACATAAGTAACTTCCATGCAGTAATTTGAATTACCATTGTATCCATCCTGGTTCAGGTCCCCTAAGTGCGCAATAGCACTACCAAATCTTCCAAAAGTCTCGGTGCCTGTGAGGACCTGTGGATCTTGGAAGAGGAGGGCACTCACTTGCAAATACAGGTAGACTTGCCCTACTTCTCTAGGGTTACTCTCAAATTCACGTTCCATAAAGAGGGGTGCCCCAATCAATATGTCATCCATCCTGTAGGGAACAAAGAGAGCAGTCAGCAGACTGGAGGGCAGAAGATTGCTTTTGGGTATACTTGTAATAGGCTTAATTTGGACATTTTCATTGATATTTTTCCTTTTCCGAGGGTCAATTTACCATCATTGTATTTCTATCACTGCTTTGTTATATCTATGAAATAGAATGCTGTTAGAAAATAAGAATTGTTAAATTATCACCTGGAACCTTTTCACTACCTTGAAAATGACTACTTTAAGAAAACCACAGAAACCCTTTCCAGCTTTTTAGTGCTTTTCCATAAGCTGTAGTTACATGAGGAAAATATATCAAAAACACCTAAGGAGTTATTTTTCTAGAAGGAGATTAGAGTTTGTCTACAATTTATACAGCTATAGACCAAATTATGCTGCTTTTGTGCAGTAAATAAGGTCTAAAATAAATTTATCTTTCTTTTTCCTTTTGCTACTTCTAGTTAAATAAAAGAATCCAAAGAAGTGAATAGTGCTGGCTAGAAAGCCAGAAAAACTTTCCATCGCAGATGAAAATTTATAGTCATTCTTTGTATATGTCTATTACAGAAGGAAACAAATTGATGACTTTTAAGGTCTTAAAAATTCAAGAAACAGACACCTAACAAATGATTTAGAGATGAAGACATAACCATCAGGAGAATAAAAACCAACAGTGCTTACAGGTGTTTCTTTCCCAGAGAAGTATAGAACAGGAAACTTTATTTATTTATTTTTTTGCCATAAGCCTTCCTAGTTAGTTGATTTTTATTTAAAAACATAAAAAATAAAAAATTGAAATTCTTTTTAAAAAATTAAAAGCCACACCATTCTGTGTATATGATCTTGCGTTTCACTGGTGGTGTATTTATGTATGAACACAGGCAACCACAAGAATGAGATCCTAATTAGAATAAGTTATACCCCATGTATGTATAATCTGTCAAAATACACTCTACTGCCACATGTATCTAAAAAGAACAAATTAAAAAAATTTAAAATGTCTCACCAAATATAATGCACAATTTGACCTCTACTAATGACTAAAGTTTGCCCGAAGGAAGCTCTATCCTGGAAAACGCAATGACGTAAAAGGCCGCTTAACACAAATAAATACAAACCTGCATTTTTTGTTTATATGTATGTAGATTAGGTAATGCTGGAGTTTGACAAGTAACACAATTGATAAAATATTATTATAATTTAATTTTGTATCATTAATATATGACTACTAGTATTATATCATTAACACAGCAAGTACATTAATACCATATATAGCATATTACTAAATGTACACCTTATTGATATATATTAATATAAATGCATATTAATATTAGCATAGCATGTACATCATATATATGCTGTATATTTTAAAACTCATTAATAGTTAAGGTCAAGGATGAACTGAGGGCAGTTACTGATAGTCAGAACCTGCTTGCAGATCTGAGAGGTCTGAAAGACACCAACACTGCTGTGTCCCTTCTCTCTGAATTTTCACCTTGCCTATGGTGTTGGTCTCCTGTCTGCTTCTGAGTCTAAGTCACAGGCATCCTGTGTTCCTGCTAGTTCCTACTAGATACTCTGAAGATCCTATGATAAGTTATTGAAAGAATACAATGATGACTGGTAGATGAGCTAATTAGGTCCCTGATTAATTTACAACTGAGGTTAAATTGTTACCCATATATTATATAAGAAAACAAGGCAGGCTAGGAAAAGTAATATGGGGGATCCAAGTTAATGTTGGAATCACAGACAGGGCAGAGGCTGTATCCTTGGAGGGAATTAAGGAAGGTGCCCTGGAGGAGATGGCATGTGCCCTGGGTACGATTCTGACAGGCAGGCCTGGAGGTGAGCTTTCCAGAGGGTAGTGTTGTCCAAAATGAGGTCAAGGTACCCTGGGGGGGTGTGTCATGGTGGCTCCATGCTAGGAGGATTCCAACACATTTGATTGGAAAAGTAAAACATACAAAGAATTCTTAGAACTCAATAATGTGAGCTAAGAATAATATCTCCCCAAAATATATTAGCTATCGTATTATGATACACAACACTACATTATACTATATGCTATTTTTATAATTTATATTATGTATCTATAATATATAATAAAAACAAGAAAAAAACCAAAGAAAAATTGTATAAAAGATCTGAATAGATACCTCATCAAAGAAGATATAGATGGCAAACAAGTATATGAAAGTATGCTCAGCATCATATATCATTAGGAATTGCAAATTAAAACAATAAGATACCACTACAAATCTCCTTGGATGGCTAGAGTCCAGACTGCTGACACCACCAAATGTTGGCAAGGATGTGGAACAATAAGAACTCTCATTCATTGCTGGTGGGTGGGAATGCAAAGTGAGATGCTCCTTTGGGAGGCAGACTAGGTTTCTTACAGAGCTAAATATAGCCTTACCATGTGATCTCACATTTATGTTCCATGGTGGTTGCCCAAATGAGTTTAAAAAGTATGTCCACACACGGGCTGGGGTTGTGGCTCAGAGGTACAGTACTCGCCTACCACGCGTGAGGCACCAGGTTCAATCCTCAGCACCACATAAAAATAAAATAAAGATATTGTGTCTACCTATAACTAAAAAATAAATATTAAAAAAATCTTTAAAAAAAAAGTATGTCCACACAGAAACCTGCACACATATGTTTAAAGCAAAATTGACAAAACCTGGAAGCAACCATGATATTCTTCAGTAGGTGAATGAATAAACAAACTGGTACATCATACAATGTAATAGGATTCAGTAATTTAAAAAAAGGGGGTGATGAAGGCATGAAAAGATAAGGAGGAACCGAAAATACATATTACTAAGTGAAAGAGGCCGATGTGAAAAGGCTACATACTGTATGATTCCAAAGAGCTAACATTCAGGGAAAGGCAAAACTATGGGACCAGTAAGAGGCATGGTTGCCAGGGATGAGGGAGTGGACGGAGATGACAAGAAGAGCACCAGATTTTGAGGACAGTGAACAATTCTGTATGGTACTCTAATGTTGGCTGTGCGTTGGTAGGCATTTGGCAACACCCGTATAACACAGAGTGAATCTTAATGTTAACTATGCTCTTTTGTTGATATGTCAATGTAAATTTATCAATGGTAACGAATGGACCACGTCAATGCAAGATGCTAATAATGGGGAACTGAAGGGGGAGAAGAGGGACTATAGGGAAGCTCTCTGTCGTTCTTACTCAGTTTTCCTGTCAACTTGTAAACCCAGAACTTTAGGTTTGCTCACATTGCTTGCTGTCCTGCTAGATGAGAGGAGAGCAGGGATCTGTGCTCCTCCAGTGCCTGGCCTTTCCTTAGGGGGAGCCTCAGTTGCCTGTCTCTGTCATTGTTACTGTCCATATGAAGAGGCATTTGTTACACACCTAAGTTTTATGTGGGTGCCTCCTTCCTCAGGGTAAGATCCAATGTCGCTGGTTCCCTACTGCACAGATTTAGCAAAGTCATGTTTTAATTCAGTAGAGAAGGAACAAGCCATACAATTGGTCTCCGAGAGTTCAAACATGACACAGGGCTCATACAACTGGCTCAAAACCTTCCTCACTGTGAACATCAGATTCTAGAACTGGACATTATTAGACCTATCATTGTGAAGGTCTGGCACATCCATGGAATCCTTGGATTTTAGAAGTAATATGAAAGCATTGATTTATTTTCTTAGAAATATGTTTCCCCAGATACTTAACTGTCTTAAAATGTTCTTAACCTCCAAGAAGACAAAGAGGCATTTGTTCTTAATTTATGATTATGCTCTCATAGAGTTGATCACAATAACTGTCTTGGATTTAATTGGTACAGTGTGCCTCAGAGAGTGTTTTGGACTTAGTATTGTATTAGCAATACCACTTAATCATGGTATATATTATTGTTTAGGCTGGCATTTTAAAACCTTGATTTGCAACTCATTAGTGGGTTATGAAATCAGCATAATGGATCTCTGCCAGCATTTTAAAAAATGAAATTGCATACAATAATAGACGACAGAGTAAATGCCTTATACATAATAAAGATAATATTGTCTTGCGAAACTTTCGTTTCAGTTGTGTGTGTGTGTGTGTGCGTGTGCGTGCGCACGTGTGTGTACTGATTTGTAATATCAAATGTATTATAAACCACAGGCAAAAAATGGTTGGAAAACCACCACCGTAGACTATGTGTGCCATTAAGCTATTTCAAAAATTGCCACATCCTCTTGTTAAATATACCCAATTCAAGCGTAAAGTTTTAAAATATTTATTAGTAAAGATGACTTTTGTTGAACTTCTGATAAGTAGTTGAGTATAGTGGGCTGGGTACCATTCTAAAAGGATACACACACACACACACACACAGAGAGAGAGAGAGAGAGGGAGAGAGAGAGGAGATTTTTAAAATATATTTTAATCTAAAAGAAACAATGATGCAAAAAGAATATTAATGATGTGGTTCTGCTAAGTACCATTTCCTCTGGGTCATGTTGGTTGTTTGGACAAGATTTAAGTCATTTTGTGAAGGTATTTCATAAAAGTAGGATGTGTACTTAAACTTCATTTTATCGGAAATGTCAAACTCAGTGCGGCCTTTATACAGGTTTTATTTTCGTCTCACTTTTATGTCTAAGTTCACTCTGATAATCTCATACCATGTGAAACTCATCTTATCTTTCACACGTCATTTGATACAGAACATTGCGAACACTTTCATCAAAAGCAAAGCACAAATATTATGATAAAGTATGAGCAGACCCCCAATGAGAATATTCAATAGGAAGAATCTGAATTCAAGTTTTCAGCAGTCATTTGCTATTAATGGTTTGAGTTAATATATAAACTTTTCCTTTTCTTTTTCTTTTTTTTCCAGTAGTTCTTTTTGTATGCTAAGTTCCATGACTAACATTCAGAATGTAGTTATTCATTAAAAGAATGCAGATCAGTAGACTGTACAATAGAGTTGATATCTAATCAATCTAATTGATTTATGACAGGCAAGAACAAATATAAGAATTATGCATAATTACATTATAGAAATTAGTTTAACTTACTGCCTTTTTATGTTTTAACTTTCTAAATGTTTTACCTAATTCGATCATAATGACATATCTTGGACAAATGATCATACTTGTACTAAATCGAACATAAAGCCATATCCACCCAAAGCTTCTTGCTTTCAAACAGATTTCTCTAAACTGCTCTCAGTTAACAAACTACTATGAATCTATGTAAATTTATCTGCTTTTGGCCTCACAGAGGCTGGAAACAATAGGCATATGGAAATAAATGTCCAATGAATTAAACTGTAATTCTGTGAATATCTGAAATAGTATAAATGCTGTAAGATTCAAAAGCCTCAAGGAAAAAAAACAAACCAAACCAAAACAAAACAGATTGCTTCCTTGGGTACAGGATGAAAAATACCATCCCTACTTGTTGCTAAGGAGTTTGTCTAGAAATTTCTAGCAAAGTTTACATTGACAAGAGTTGTAGTTCTGGCTGCCGTAAGATAACTAAACTGAAGTTAATTTTGCCAGTTTGTTTACACTGTACTTTCAAAACCATCACAGGCTTGACAGTATCATCTCCCAGCCAGCAGGCACACAATTGTTTGGTCTAAATTTTTGGAGTCCACTCAGAATACTGGAAGATTTATTTTGTAGTAAAAAATATTGGGGAAAATCTCCACCCATTTACTTGTTACTTTACTTAATGACACTTTCTTTTTCCTGATATTGAGATGCTGGAGCATTTGTAGGGACCTTGTTTTTGTTGCATAGTTGATAAGGAATACACGCTGCCTGAAGATGTTCACTAGGTAGCCTCGTGTACAATTATACTTGATTTTCTCAGTTGGAGAATGGAAAGTCTGGTTCCATCCCATAACTGTGTGTGTTTGAGGGGGTCTTCCTCTGAACCATGAACAATGACCTGGCCCAGTGATTTTCTTAAGTCTTTATATGCTACCAATACCATTATTTTCATGTCAGATTTCATTTTAGCTACCTATCTTTATCTGGGATCTTTCTTTGACCAATTGCAATTGCTTCCAAAATAAATTTATTTCTGATAGGACCTTGAATTTAAATTTGAGATATCTGAGTAATTACAAACAGCAAGTTATTATCCCCTTTGGTCACTTTACCTTTGAGAATGGCAACATTAAGTTATTAGCACCTTTGGTTACCTCACCTTTTTGAGAATGACAACCTTAAGTTAATGGACCTATTTTTTCATGCAGTCTGAAGAATTTGGAATATGTTACCTAATAAAAAAGAGAAGTCGTGTGCACAGCAGTTTTTATAGGGACATCAAGAAAGAACAAATTTATCACTTGAAAATTCCTCTGTTGTTATTATCATGTTGTTTCGATCAGCAGGAAGCCAGTGAAGTCCTTTTCTCATGAGTTTTTGTCCTTCTTTTTTTTTTATTGGTTGTTCGTAGCATGGCAAAAATATTTACTATAAACATTGTCACAAAACTTTGCTATAGTCTAAATTGAGGACGTTTCCAGGAAAGAAAGAGGACCCTCCAGGGCATATTGTGAAACCTGGGAAAATTTGCAGGGATTCAAAACAGGAGTGGCCTCCGGAAAGGCACACATGGAATGAATCTGTGCCCTATAAAATGCCACAGAGCATTCACAGGGAAAAGACCTTCTTCTGTTGAGAGAAACGTATCCAGGCACATCTGAAAGGCCATCGCTGATGTTTTGTATTCACCGTAGAGTGGGTTCAATAAACCTGAAGAACAGGCTGCATTTGGGCTCCAAGTTCTTCTTCAACAATTGTCTTCCTAAGTTATTGACAGCCTTCCATGACAGTTACAGTCTGTCCGTGTTGGAATTCTTGACTGGTGCATCTAGTCTTTCTTTTTCTTTACACTCAGACAAATAGAGATTAAGGGAATTTGATTTTAAGTTAAAACTGCTTCCAGGAGAAAACTGGTACTGAACTAGACCTTCAAAATATATCTATCCAGAGTGTAACTACTTCTGTTTCCCTCCATGCCTGCAGCATGGGTCCAAGACCCTGTCCCATGTGCCCTGGCATGTGGCACTTGACCAGGTGGACAGAACCCACCTGTGAAAACCAGAGTCTGAGCAGGCCACTCCCTGCCTTGGAATCCTCCAGGGCTCACAGGATGCAGTGTCCCTGTTGGAGACAGACTCATCCTAGTTCACGGCAGAGTCTGGGTGGCACTATGTAAATCTGTGGTGAATGCAGTGGCCTCTGCACCTTTATGATCAGGCTCCCCCTTGTTACCTCTCTGAGACTCTTTGCTGTTCCTCAAATATGCCAGGAGCTCCCACCTCCAGAAATTTGTTCGTTTTACTATTTGTCTGGGAACACTCCTCCCCTTTACGTCATCAATGGCTTCCTTTTTTTTTTTTTTTTTATCTCCTTTAGGTCCTTTCTCCACTGTAATCATCACTGAGGTTTTTTCCATGTACTTCATGTAAAACTGTTTATAACAGCACAATTCACCATAGCCAAGCTGTGGAACCAACGGAGGTGCCCTTCAACAGAATGGATAAAGAAAATGTGGTACAGATACACAACGGAAGATTGCTTAGTTCTAAAAAAGAATAAAATTATGGCATTTGCCAATGAATGGATGGGAATGGAGAACATCATGCTAAGTAAAACAACCCAGTCCCCAGAAGTCAAAGGTGAAGGTTTTCTCTGATATGTGGAAGTTAATCCAAAATAAGGGAAGGGGATAAAAATAGAGACAGACAAAAGGGAAAAAAAGGGAGAGGGAATTGCATCAAACTAGAGGAAAGATCAGTAAAGTAGAGCAGGTGGTTGGGGGGAGGAGGGAGAGACAGGATAAGGGAAGAACAGTGGAGTGAATCTGACCAAATTCCACAAGAACATCCATGAACATACCACAGTGAGTCTCAACACCAAACATATCCACAGGACACTGATTTTAAAAATACCTATAAATAAATTGCAGAAAGATCAATACAATAGAGGTGTGGGAGAAAGGAGGGGGAGGAAGGAGGAAGTGCTGGGGACTCAAGTAAAGCAAATTACATTCCACACTTTTGTGATTTTATCAAGATGAATTCTAATGTTATATATAACCACAAAGAATCAATTAAAAAAAGGATTGCATAAGAAAAATAACTACATCCATGGGACTGGGGATGTGGCTTAGTGGGAGAGAACTTGCCTAGCATCCCCAGCACCACCAAAGAATCAAAATAAAAAAGATAAAAGAAAAAAAGTCCCCTAGTACTCCTTTCTGTTTTCTTTTAAAATTTAATTCATAAACCTTATCTTATAGAATAGCTTTAGAGTCAAATAAAACTGAGCAGAAAGTACAGAGTTCTCACATTACTCATTCTCCTGTAATAGCCTTTCCCACCCTCATCCCCCATGAGAGTGGTGCCTTTGTTACCATCAATGACCTGACCCTCATGCACAATTATCAACCACAGCTGTAGTGCATACTATGGGATTTAACAAGTGCATAGTGACAGTATCTTTTATGATAGTTTCAGTACCCTTAAAATCCTGTGCCCCACCTATGCATCCCTTTCTGCCTTCCCCCAAACTCCTGGCAAACACTGATCTTTTATTGTTTCTATAGGTTTTCTTTTTTTCCAGAATGTCATACAATTAGAATGATACAGCATGTAGCCTCTATACATTGACTTCTTTCACTTAGGAATATGCACTTAGGGTTCTTCCATGTCATTTTCTGACTTGACAGCTCATTTCTTTCTAGAGCTGAATAAAATCTCATTGTCTGGATGTATCACAGCTTATTTATTCACCCACCTACTGAAGGACATCTTGGTTGCTTTCAGTCCTTGCGTTTGGGGCTTTTTCTACAGAGTTCTTATCACCATCTATTACTCTCTGTATTTGACTTATTTTTTTTTCCTGTGTGGCTCCCACTTTTCCAACTCTAGCATAATTTCATGAAGTTTTTACATTCTGCACCCAGAACCAGGGCATAATAGAGTCTCAAGAAATAAATGTTCAATGAAAGGATAATAAAGGGATATTTTCCAAGAGGTATACAAGTTAATGAACTCCGATCATATGCCACAACAAAATATAGAAAGTACATTTCTAGCTATACAAAGGTCACAGGAAAATGTCTATCAAAAATCTATTTAAAGAACTTGGTCCAGATTCCGGAATGTGATAGGAGTTTTCAGATATTTCCTTTCTGCCAAACTGTGAGCTCCCTGAGAACAGAGAGCCAGACTAATTTCTTCAACTTTGTACAGTGTTCTGGGCATTGAGAACAATGTGTGGGACAACAAGCAAAGTATCTATTGGGTGGATACTCAATACATCTCAACTTAAAGATCTTATTAATGATCTATGAATTTATAGTGAATAAAGGGGTGTTTAATAATCATTTATTTTTGAAGTAATGATGTCACAGCAACCATAATGCAATAGTGCTGTTTGGTCGAAGCTTGACTGTAATTACTATCCTCATCAGAAAAATAGCATTATTATTATTTCATCTCCCCCATGGATGTTGCTAATAGTTGGTTAAAGCAATGTCAGGAGGAAAAAAGTTCATTTTTGTGCAAATGTGTTATGACTGCATCACGTTCTAGGGGGAAAATTCTTAAGACCGAAGAGAAAATGAACAAATTCCTCAATGGATGTGGATTTTGAGTGGCCAAGGATTATTCACTTCATAAAATTAAAAATAAAACCAAATAAAGTAGTCCCCTTTTAGAAGTGGCAGATGTAGAAAATCTCGGTAAAGACATAAAATAGGATGACAGAATTCTTTATTAGATACATCCTCTTGTCCTGAATCAGAAAAAAAGTTCAAACAAGGGAGCCTCTATGTTTTTGAGGAAGTACAGAAGGATATACTTCAGGAAGAAAAAATATCCCATCTTTATGGATGACCATGGTATATAGAGTGTGAGGGGGGTTCTTATAAACTTACCCATCATTGTTAACATCTGATACGACAACACTATAACCAAAATAAGATGCCATCTGCAAACAAAAAAAAAAAAAGATCAAAAGTGACATATTTTGTGTTCAAAAAGTCATTTTTATAGTCACCTCTTAATTACTCCTGAATGATGCATCTTATCTTGATACATTTTTGCACTTAAATCCTTGGATGTGGACTGACTGTCGGAGTCATTTAGTCTCACTCTGACCCGATGAATAATTTTCCCCATAATAACCCTGACATCTGCTTGGACATCCTTCTCTGGTTAGGCTTCACAATCAGCCCATTCAATCTGTGAACACAATGATTAGAATGTTCTGTGCTTCATGCAACCTTTCATAACTTCTAGTCTTTAATCCCACCTAGTTCTGTAATCTTGAATCCCACAGAACAAATCCAATTCCACCTCCATATGAAGCCTTGTATGCAAATGTTTTCAGATGGATCACCATGCAGCCCCTCTTTCTTAGAGATGCCACATGTGGAAACAAAGAATGGATGATTCTTATGAGTACAGTAACAGAAGAGTTAAGTGGGATTGCTAATCTCTACTTTGGCCCCTGTATATTATTAAAGCATAAGGGCAGTTTTAATTTGGGAGGAACCTACATCTCAGTATCAATTTTATGATGAGCTCATATTCAATGAAAGCTCCTGAATCTTTTCTACAAGTGTAAGTGGGGTACCATAATCTCCCCGTGTTTTCCCTCTGATATTTTATTGTTCAATCTAGGTTGTCAGGAGTTATATAGTCTTTTCAGATATGGCTGATCATTCCAGATTGTCAATGTAGTTTCCATGGTCTGCCATCTGAAGTTTCAATTGATTTAGCCTCCTGCCATCTGCTAAGCTAATCAACTTTTAGAGTGTATGTCCATGGAAGGCAGAGAATGATCAGTTTAGTTCTCTCTTCTACTTAAGCAATGTTTGGACCAAAATAGGCACCAGGTACCAAAATCTCTTTGCTGAGGGAGAGAACACGAAAGTTACCAAGTGTCCCATGATCTCAGTTCTCATTTTCTTTTCTTTATTCCAAACATAAACAGTGCAAATCTTATACCTTGTGTGATGTGTGCAGCCTTTGCTCAGAGAAATTTCATCATGTATGCATTAAGTTCTGAGGTTTAAGATTATCAAACTAGGTGGTATTGAAGATGAGAAGTTACAGAAGGACTAAATTTAGCAATGTTAAAATGCTTCTAATGATAAACATGTAAAAAGAGATCTAGTTAAAGAACACTTTCTGCATTTTCTCTTTTGAAACGTGGGATTCTGTGTGATATCACCATACATGCACTCAGCACACATTGGTCAAATGCCCTTAGTTATAGTTGTTCAAAATTTACAGACCCATCCAACTTCACTGCCATTCCTGCCTCCTTCCTCCATAACTTCTGAAAGAGTATCATGAGAAATGTGAACTGCTTTGTGGAAAATTTCAGAGTAACAGGTGGACTGACTCCCCACATTTTGGCAACAAGATGTCAAAATCATTTTCTGCTCATTTAAAAACCTGCTAATCAATTTTCTTGACATGCCTCTCAGACAGCAGTACCCAATTCAGTGCTTGAAGAAATGTGGCAAATTTCACCAGTCACAATACCCAGGAACATGAAGGGTGGGAGATAAATTGTGGCCTCGACCATATTTGGTCAAGAGGGTGGTAGCATCCTGTCTTCAGGAATTGACCCATTCACAGTAGGACCTCAGGAAATGACAGTGGGAAAGGAGCAATGGTAGTCTCTGGGAGGAAAGGGCTCTCAAGACCCCATATACTACTGAGGCTCAGGAGAGGGTTTCAGTTACAGGAAACAAGAGCAGCAGAAGTCCAGGCCCATTGGCAGTGACCAATAAGATGAGACCTCAGAGTTGCCACTGTCTTCTCAAAGGGAAGGAGGTACTGAGAGCTCACCACCAGGTACACTAAACATCACTGGCAATATACCAAGACCGTTTTGGATCCTGGCAGGTAGTGGGGTTTTTCTTTTAAGGAGGGTAGTCTGCCTTGCTGGGCAAGCCTGGCTCAGTGGCTAGCATGGAGAATCTCTGAGAGTCCTACACACCAGGACATGTTCTAGCTTGCTCTTCTAGGATTCTTCCTTTCCTAGAGCCCTGACAATATCTTCAGAAAACAGAAGAAATCTTACTTGCATTTGTTAATATTGCAATCTCTTGTCCTGAATTACTGGGTTCTTAGGTGTTTAGCTTATTCTTTCCGACACACACAAGCACACAAGCACACACATGCACACATACACACCCTCACACTGTCTGTGGGAGATTTTCTCCTCGATGTTATTGAGGACCTGTAGATACAACTACTTCCCAACATGCAGTGCCAGCTCTACCTGTGCAGCCACTTATTACCAGTAATTACTTAGTTACTTCATTAAGACCCTGGTCCATTCTAGCATAGCCTCAATTAACTCATTTTAAATTGCAACATAAAGTGACTAAGAGATCATCCTAAGTGGAACATGGGATTCTCTCTTTGCCACCTCAAGGAAGTGATATTCTAAAGGGCTTTATCTTTATGTCGTCTTGAAAGACAGGAGCTTAATACAGGCTGTTCATGTCAGATTCAAAGCATGCACTTAATTTCAAATGTGAATTTATTAAAAAATAAGTTGAAACTAGGGGATTCCTCACAAAGCTCATGGGGTAGGTCCCTGCCCCTCTTTATCTTTGGCTTTTATTTCTGTCTCTCTTGTGTATAGATACTGGAGATTTTTCTGTGCTTCTCAGACATGTCAGATGTTTGAGTGTCTTAGTATTAGCTGTTGTTAGTTCTGCATTAGATGTTGCCCCCAGAGGATCCCCTGACCACCCTAAGAGATCCTTTACCACACCTTAATTATCTAGCTATTTATTTTCTTTATATCACTGATCACTATCAGAAATTATCATGAACATTTTATTTGATTGCAAATTAACTCTTCCATCCTGCTGTACCCCACACACAGCTGCAGGAGAGCTGGGTTCATCTTTCAGCTGCACTGTTGTATCTCCAGTGCCCGGATCAGTTTCTGACATATATTGGATGCTCATTAAATATTTTTTGAGTGAATGAATAAATGATGTAAGTATTAAAGTATATTAGCACTGAGTGATACTATGATTTCATATTAAAATATCTTTACCTGTTCACCAGTGAAATTCTGGATAAAGGTCATATCTGTAGAATTAATGATTGACACCTAAAATCAGAGAAATTAGATAGATCATTTGACAGAAAGCTAAAGAAATTGTTTTTTTTAAAAAATGCAACTTAAAAATAATTTATTTTTTTGTGAAGACTAATAAGCTTTAATAAGTAATAAGAGTTAGCTATATATAAAACAAAACTGCAAGTCCCCGAGAATGACCTAAAGGAAAAATCCAAATAAACTTTTTGTCTGTAGTTTACTCTAGAATATTTTCAGAATATGCATGCTTACTGAAGTAAGTGGGGAAATAATAGTTGAATTCAAGACCACTGAGAATAGGTAAACTGATAGTCAGATAACTTATTAATCAGGATTTTTGTCTAAATCTATTTCTGTTCTTATGCTACTCTAAGAACTCAGAACTTAGCAAACTAATGTCCTAGTGAAATCACTGTTGATTTATTATTTCTACTGTATGAGACACATTAAAGTGCTGATTGTAGCAATGGAAGCCTTTACAACATTCCTCAATTGTGCACACAGATAGGGTTAGCTTCCTGGGTGTGTGGCCTATGTAGTCACATAAGGCCCTGGGCGCCACCAGATCCAACCTTAGTTTAATGCTTTGTTGTTGCTGCCCTGAAATTTTTAACAATTCAAAAATCTTTGATAATTGTGGCTATTTGCAAAAAAAAAAAAATTGCCCCACATTTTCATTTTATACTAGGTCCCACAAATCATGAAGCTTCTCCTGCACATAGATCTGATCAAATTTAGCCTCATTTGTTTTCCTTCCTATTTTAGTAAGCAAACAACATGAATCAATAGGAGGCACTCATTATTGAAGAAAAATTTTGAAGACTTAAAAATATATTGCAAGAAAACATTTCTTTTAATAAACAAGAAATATCCTAGAATGCATTGTCAAGTACTCACATATCCAAAATTCTGTGCTCCTCTTGGAACTCCAGCAACCAATTCTGGGGATAAAATAGAAATTTTGAAGGAAAATTCCACGTATATTTAAATCTGTATAGTAAGTAAGTGGTAATGACAGTATTTTCAAAATGGGGTAGTGTGTTAAAAGTTCAAAATCAGATTTTTGCATTACATTTTCATTAACCTTTGTTTCTTTACAGACAATAGAAAACATAAGAGCAAGTTTTTCTTTGAGATTTTCGAATTTTCATAACATTCTGCATGCACTTCTGTTTCTAGAACATCAGCCAGACTTTAAATCTGCAAGTGATTTCTAGGTTGAAACTTTTATTCTAATTTGCCAATAGTCACTTGGGGACTTTTTTTTTTTCTTTTGCTGGTATAGAAGTACAGTTCCCATGACACTAACATGCTAAAACTAAATGCAAAGTTTGATCACCTAAGAAAAAAAACACATATCATAAATTAGATGCTAATTTAATTTTACTGCCTCTTGGGAATGTTGGCAGCAGCCTTTGGGCAACAAGGTAGCTAAGCACATCTCAGGGAGGAAGCATTGATGGTACAGCAGACAACTCTGAGGAGAGGGCAGTATATTCCAGTGCACAGAGGCCTCGCTGTAGGTTCAGAAAACAGTGGTTGCAGTCATGGGTCCGCCATATACCTGAGTTGAATCATTGAACTTAGTTTTCCACAATTACCTACAATCTATGGGAGTTAGATTATAAATAATAATAATGATAATTATTATTATTTCTAGCTCTCATTTATATAAATCTAAACCATCTTTTATATTAGGGTTTAAAATTTAGTATAATTTAAAGAAAAGAGGCAATGGAATAGATTCCTATTCTATCCAAATTGCTACCCATCCTCCAAAACTGCTCCTAAAGGTACAGCACATATTCATTGCAGCATTAAGTATATCTGCTGTTCTGTGCTTCAGCAGAGTTGGGTGTGTATGGTGCTAGCATTAATCACCAGGGAAGATTCACTTAGATCAGACATTAGATATTTCATATGTAAACTCATTCATCCAGTTGACAAATATGTACATGTGATTGTAGGGATATAGTGTGAATAAAACAGACAGAATGACTTGGTCTCTGGGAGCTTATATTCTAGTTGGAGAGGGCAATCACCTAAAAACTAGAATCAATTAAATGGCATAGCAGAATAAAATAAATGTAGTAGAGAAAAGCTAAGGGATGAACTGGTAGATGGGGTGTTGGAGTTAGGATGGGGAAGGGATTGCAATTTATTAGTGTAGTCAGGGGAGACTCAGTGAGTAGGTAACATTGGAGCAAAGACCAAAGAAAAGGAAAAAGTAAATATTGTAGATATCTGGCAGAAGTATGTCCTCGTTAGAAGGAACATCAAGTGCAAAGGTCCTCAGGTAGAAGTGCGTTTGGACTTATTCAAAGAATAGCAAGGAGGCCACAGTGACTTCAATAGAACCAGTGATGGGTAATGGAGCAGGAGATGAGACCAGATGGGGGCCAATGACGAGAGCCTTTTAGGTCATTGTAAAGACTTGGGTTATAGTTGGGAACTCATTGGGAGAAAAGGAGGTACATGATCTAACTTATGTTTTTGAAATTGTGGTTTGATTTCTGGACTTAGGATAGACTGTAGGAGGGCAAGGGTGAAGCAGGGAGACCAGGCAGGATGCTCTTGCAGTAATACAGGTGTGAGATAATGGAAACTTGGATCAGAGTAGAAAATACGCAGGAAGAAAGACATGAAAGAAGTGGTCTGATTCTGGTTCTATTTTGAAGGTTCAGTTAGCAGGATTGGATTGTGGATTGGACCTGGTGAGAGAAAGAGCACTTGGCTGACTTCCAAGGTATTTGACTTGAGCAACTTAGAGGACTGCGCTGCCATTAGGTTGCAGCTGGGAGTGTGACAGTGGAGGGCAGCACCTCTTTCTGAGGGAAGGGAAGGCCTTCCATACCACCACATCAAATTTGGGATGGCTACTCTATTACAGATGTGGAAGATGTAGGAAGATGTAGGAAGCTGGATCCATGCTCCTGGAAATCAGTCTAAGCTGGAGAAATAAAAACTACGAGATCACCCAGAGAGAACTCAAATTCTGTAGAAACTGTCCATGGATTTATTCCTGGGTCACTCAGTGAGGTGAGGGAACTGAAAGAGCTACCAGGGACCTAGAGGGAAGCCAGGTGGAGAGATGAGGAGGGAGGAATCCAAGCTGTCCAGTGCTCCTGAGGTTCGGGGAAGATGAGACAGACACATGGAGGCCACTAGTTTGCCTGACAAGATCAGAAGCAGCACAGATCAAGAGGCCGAGGCTTAGGACAAGGGAACTGAGGAACTGTCACACAGAGAATACCAGAAGAGAAAAGTGACAATCCTTTCAAAGCAGAGAAATACAGGTGTTAGCTATAGCCACAGGTGGAAGTGGGACAAGTGGATGTTTTTGTTTTCAATGGGAGAAGTAAGAGTATGACTGGATGGTAGTGAGAATGACACAGGAGAAAGGACAAATGGTTCTATGAAAGATACAAAAGCAAGACTTGCTGGAATTTCATCTCTGAGGACAAGAGCAAAAGGGACAAAGCAGAGGGGTTAGCTTGAGAGAGCATGTGAATAGTCTACCTAGAGCAACAGGAGGACAAGATAAGGTTCTGGCCAAGGAAGCTTCTAGCACTTGTAGGATATCGTCCACTTTTCAGACATCTTGTGGGGGGATATAAATTAGATCCTCCTGACACTGAGAACCCACCACAGTCTAATATAATGGAGTTGACTGATTTCAGGGTCAGACCTGTCAACTGAGACAGATTCAGGGGGATTGTGTCATTTGAGATGCAGGGCAACCATTACTTCTCATATCTCACAAACTTTTAGAATCTTGTTCCCCCAAAATCAATCATGACACCCAGTAATTTTGGAATCTGCAACCTCCCATGACCACATCATTAAGGAGCTATTAAATGAAATTTTGATTAAAGATGTTTATAATCTTTTGTAAATGATTAGGAAATTTAATTACTTAGGGCCAAAGGCAAATTAGAACTGTCAATCAACTACACAGATTTTTACTTGGAAGGGAAAATTTCTTAGATCTATTCCAGTAACTCATGGTGAAACCTTCAGAAGTTTCTTAATATCAGCAATATGTTCAGGAAAAATTTAGGTCTTTGACCTGAAAATTTGTGTCTAGTGAGAAGCAGAAAAGAGACTTTCATTGAATGTCTTCTCTTGAGTAAGCAATATACCATGTGATTTTTCATATTTATACCACTTAACCTCTAAAGAGGAGGGATTAATATCCCATTTTGATATATAGGGAAATCAAGGCTTAGGAAGATTCAGTCACTGTGGAGGCCATAGTTATTGAGTAGAAGTCAAGAACCGTCAAGTCAATGTTCCTTCTCCATATTCCATTACTTTCCGGATAAGGGTCAACTTCAGATCATTTTCTTGGGTCTTAGTCCACCACAGCTGATTCCAAAATGAGATCACAGGCTCTTAGTCTTTTTTGAGTCATGAACACATTTGAAATGGAAAGAAACTTATGCATCCTCTCAACAGAAAAATTCACATACATGGAAACCTTGAGATTTTTATAAATATATATTTACATATATATTTATATAAATTTTAGATACAATATATATGTCATACATAAATATATATATGGTATATATAAATATATATATATAATATGTTATATTTTATATTTTATATATATATATAAATAAAATGTCTAAGAGCTCAAAACTAGTGAAGCCTATCTGTGGACCACTCAACAGTCCAGAGATTCCATATTAAGAACCCTTCATGTAGAGGACATCAAATCCTTTTTCATGGCATTCTAAGTCCCTGGTGTCTAATTAAGTAAACAGTGAATATGGACAGCCTTGGATTCATAATGACCTAGTGAACTGATTGCAGTATGGTTTCAGAGTACTTTTTATTTCAGATATCCTCATAATTTGGATACATTTTCTAGATATTCCTGAGATCCAATGGAAAATCACTATTTATTTTCTGCCATCTTTCTTGAGGAAGTGTTGATGTGCAGCATCACTAATTTCCTTGGGTCAGAGTACTATTTTAGACAGCTTTTTCAACAAGTGCTCAAATGCCATGGAGAAAGAAAAAAGAAAAAGAAAATCATGTTGGGCAAAATGGTGCATGCCTGCAATTCCAGTGACTTGGGAGACCGAGGCAGGAGGATTGTGAGTTTGAGGCCAGCCTCAACAACTAGCAACTTAGTAAGACCCTGTCTCAAAATAAAAAATAAAAAGGACTGGGATGTAGCCCAGTGGTAAAGTGCCCCTGGGTTCAATCCCCAGTTAAAAAAAAAAAAATATATATATATATATATATATATGAATTTTGCCTTCAAGGAGACACACGAAACAGCCTTTGTGGTTAATCTCCTTTCCTTTCTTTTTGTTTTGTTTTTCAAATCACAAGTATAATTGGATAATAATTATTACTCTACTTAAACCTTTCGTGGCTTCTCCCCTGTTTTTTGCATAAGTTCTAGGATCATTTCCATGACCTACAAGACCCAACATGATCTGGGCCAGTCCCTTTTCTCTAAACCAATCTTATTTCATTATTCGTATCAAAGTCCAGCCAGTCAAAATGAATTCCTTGAAAACTCCATTTTTTTTTACACACTTTAGAATGCAAAGATTGGCCTTTATCATGGTACTTAGCACAATTTCAAATTAGGTATTCTTTGTTCATTAGTATCTATCAGACTCTGAGATTAAGGGCCATTTGTTCACCTCTGCATGCTCCACACTTTACACACACACACACACACACACACACGTTTGACTAATGAATGGCAAATCCCACAGGAGAGAGAAAAGGAAGATGACATAGGAGTTTACAGAAGGAGGCTAAGTAAGGATTTCTGGAGAAGATGACATTTAAAATTGACCTAAAAAGATAAATAAATAAAAGCACTTGGCCACTGGAAGGTGGGGATGGATACAGACTGAGAGGACTGAAAACAGACACAACAGCCAAAGGAAAGGAAAGGATAGAAGGCAGGCGAATGCTTGTCATACACGAAAACAGGCATTAGTTTGTGCTGTTATTTTGGGACTGCACATATCCAAAGGGAAAGAGAGAAGTAATGTTGGCATGAGGCATAGGAGTCAGGTGGGGAGTGTAGTTTTGGACATATACTACATGAGATCTTAGAAGTTAAATTTAAAAGAGGGATCTTAGTTTCTCAAATTTAGTCTGTTGCTAATGGCATGGCTATTGTCTAATTCATTTAACCTTCTGTACGTTTTTCATTCATAACATAGGATGACTGCCCTAATTTTTATTTCTTAAGGTTTATATCAATTCCTATTAAATTTGTTGTGATGGAAAATGCTGCACCAAATATGTATATATTTTCTGCAAAAATATTATCATATGTATTTGGGATTCTATTTATATATATTGTATTTAGCAAAGAAAACATATTTACAAAAGGACTTTTAATGCCAGTTTACCTATTTGTCATGCTTTTAAAATGACTTAAGTTCAATGATGTCTCTCACCTTGCTGAGAGTCTCCAGTGAATTCCCCAGCAGCAACTGAGTATCCTGTTTTAAAAAAGAAACAAACTGTAATCAGATTAAATGAGATATATCTAAAAAGAAATGAAAAAAATGAGATGTATCTAGAAAGAAATGAAAAAAATGAGATATATCTAGAAAGAAATGAAAAAAAAAATGACAGTACTCCTTTATTTAGAAATCTTTATCAACATTATGAAATAAAAGCTCGTGGTTCAATAAAGAGGAAAAGTAATCTCACTACTATGAATACTTTCATACTAAGTCCTAGATACACAATAGTTGTTACTACCAACATTATGTAGAAACTGGCAAAAAAAAATCAGATTCTGAGGTCAATTTTCAAAACATGAACACTTCATAATCAACCTGTATGTGTAAGTGGCAGCTGTTACATTTTAAGAGCTGCTGATTCATCATGATTAGGCAGATACTCTTAAAGATAACCTTTTTTTCAAGTTTTGCTACTTTTGATCATTAACAAAGCATGCTTCCTGATTCCTTTAGTAATTACTTTTCAGAAATTTCACTTAGCTCCAAGAGGAGGTGGTAGCTGTTCCTACAAAACATAACTACCATTTAATTTTTTTTTCAAATTTATCAAGCAAATAAAATACCACTGGGATACCAAAGGTAGGAAAGAGTAGTGATGAAATGATATTGTGTGGTTTTCATATGATAAAGTATGAGAATATTCGAGCAGCTGGAAAGTCTCTTGTTGCTGATCTGGACAGTGGCTCAGCAACCATTGTTGCCCCTGTAACATTGGTAGCAGCCCTGCAAATACATGGTGTCTACTATCAGCAAAGTATTTTATATGCAAAAGATTGTTATGGATCCTACAGAAGAGCTGCTCAAAAACAAACAAAATAGCTTCTCAAGTTATGCAAGTATACAACATGACTAAAAAAAAAGTAGTTGTATTTAAAGAGAGGAGCTAAGCATCTATTCTAATAAGGAAAGGAAACTTATAGAAGATGACAAATGACATCAAATAAGTATGGAATCAAATAAACATCTATATTTAATCTGCTTTTCTTTCAAGAAAAAAAATGTCTTGAGCAGTGGATCTCACCAAGGTAACTATCATCGTAGGAAGCTGGAGCCACTTCGGTCTGCTTTTCTCCAGCCAGTTTCCTCAGAATATCCTTGAATGAGTAATTTGCGATAATGTCTGCAATACTGGCGGTGATCACTTGACCTGTTTTTAGACAAATGAATATGTTAACTGAATGAATGCAAGAGGCAGGCCCTCAGCAGACCCAGAACCACACACGATCCTTGAAAGTTACCATGGAGTTCATAACCCACTTGAATCAAATGTATGAAATATGATATGTCAAGAGCTTTGTAATGTTTTGAACAACTAATAATTTAAAAAAAGAAAGTTACCATGGAATTACTTGCATTCTTGATGATAAATTTTCCCGCCTGCCACTAGAACTGAAAGGTAGAGTTGATTATAGCTGCACAGAAGACCAGACATGAACATTTTATGTCTTCCTGTTGCTTCCAGCATACATACTCCCTTTGCCTTCAATTTATATAATTAAATTTCTTATTCTAGAATATTTTAGCTAGAAGGAAACTTTGAAATCATCTAGCCTTATATAGCTTCTTAGAAAAGGGGAAGATGAGGCTCAGAGCACTTGAATGCATTCTCTAAGGTCACATGATTTTGCTAGAAGGATATCTGACATGACAACCAAGGTCTCCTTTGTCATTTTAATAAAATTTTGTAATCTTGCAAAGTATAGATGTACAGTAAATCTAAATAAATAATTTAGATTGAGTATAAGTAAGATTCAATAGATTGTAAACATATCAGTTAAGTTAAAGGAAGAAATAACATGATCAGTGAGTCATTTACTTTTTATGCTAAAATATATTGAGAATAAAATTATGACAGTAGGAAGGAGCTAGGTTCAGTGAGATCCAGAAATTTAGCAATAAAGGAACCCATGGCCACAAATATTGATATGATAAGAAGTTTTGCTAATCTCTTCCAAATAAAGTCACACTTGAAAGTCTTGAAATATGGTTGTATTGGAGTACATGATTATCTAAAAGATAGTAATTTTCCACTATAATTGCTTTGCATTCCACATCTTTTATGGACATCTAGGGCAGAAGTGTACTCATGAGCTCCTTGGAAGGAAACTGGAGGAATGCTTTCAAAAGACTAATATTTAACATCAATTTTGAAGCCAAATTGTTCTTGAGAAACTCACACATAAAATTCCCACAATTTTTCTGTTTGAAGTTCAACCCCCCCAAAAAAAAAGGGGAGGGGGAGAAAGAATAAAACCATCAAACCATGTCATAAATATTTCCAAGTCACTGGGACCGAAATGACTGTTCTAATATTTGACAATGGTGTTTACACGTGAATTTTTGAACAATATCTGTAGAATTTGCCAATTTTCTTTTAATTAAAGCTCTATAAACTTCTTTCCCTCCCACATACATACTGCCTTTGCTTTTTTTCTTCAGCTGGGTCTATAAACATAATCTTAAACCGGTATAAATTTTTAAATTCTATATCTCAGACAAATGCTTCTATATGCCCTTGCCAGAGCTAATTTATAGCAAATCATTTGTATCAAACATTTTCCCAATTTAGACAGAGGAATGGATTATGCAAAATTAACCAAGTGAATTAGAAGACAATCTTTTAAAAATAAACATAAATTTTATTTTATGTCCCTCTCTTGCAAAATATGTTTTTCAGTTTGCAAAATAATCTTTAAAGACCAAGATGTCAAATAATTGATATTCATAATTAATGTGTATGAATTAAGCTTAAGAGTAATTTTATATAAATTTTTATCATAAATTCATCTTCCTGGACCTTTCTCATTGGCTTTTAAATATTATCCAGTCTCTTCCATTTAAAACAATCCTTCCTCAGTTGTTCATCTGTCTCACATTCTACTCTAACTTTATCCTGAACTTTATGGCCAAGATTTTATCTAAATTCTCTGTATTCTCTTGTTAGACATCTCATTCTTATGCATGGCTTCAATTATCACCAGTATGCAAATAATGTAAGTTTATCTTTCACTCCAAGATATCTTCCTAGAACTTAAGCCTTGATACCTAAATTCTTAATTGAAAAACTCTTGGACAGCCCAACATTTCTATAGTCAACATACTGCAAATTGGTGCGGCCAATATGGAAAGCAGTATAGAGATTCATGGGAAAGCTGGGAATGGAACCACCATTTGACCCAGCTATCGCCCTTCTCGGACTATTCCCTGAGGACCTTAAAAGAACACATTATAGGGATACTGCCACATCAATGATCATAGCAGCACAATTCACAATAGCTCGACTCGGGAATCAACCTAGATGCCCTTCAATAGATGAATGGATAAAAAAAATGTGGCATTTATATACAATGAAGTATTATGCAGCACTAAAAAACGACAAAATCATGGAATTTGCAGGGAAATGGATGGCATTAGAGCAGATTATGCTAAGTGAAGCTAGCCAATCCTTAAAAAACAAATGCCAAATGTCTTCTTTGATATAAGGAGAGCAACTAAGAACAGAGCAGGGAGGAAGAGCATGAGGAAAAGACTAACATTAAACAGAGACGAGTGGTGGGAGGGAAAGGGAGAGAGAAGGGAAACTGTATGGAAATGGAAGGAGACCCTCATTGTTACACATAATTACATATAAGAGATGGTGAGGGGAAAGGGGAAAAAAAAACAAGGGAGAGAATTGAACAACAGCTGATGGGGTAGAGAGGGAAGAGGGGAGGGAAGTGGAGGGGGGATAGTAGGGGATAGGAAAGGTAGCAGAATACAACAGTCACTAATATGGCATTATGGAAAAATGTGGATGTGTAAGCGATGTGATTCTGCAACTTGTATTTGGGGTAAAAATGGGAGTTCATAACCCACTTGAATCAAATGTATGACAGATGATATGTCATGAGTTATGTAATGTTTTGAACAACCAATAAAAAAAAAAAACATAACCAAAAGCAAACTCAACACCTTCTCTTTCCAACTCATTCTAAATCTGTTTTCTCCATTGTTCTCTAACTCAGTGAGTGGTACCCAAATGATTTAAGTCAGTAACATATTCTTGACGTGCATTTTTTTTCCTTTTTTTTTTTTTTTTTTTGTAACATTTGAACTCAGGGGCATTCAACCATAGAACCACATCTCCAGCCCATTTTAATTTTTTTTTTTTTTTAATTTTGAGACACTGTCTCATTAAGTTGCTAAGGGCCTCACTAAGTTGCTGAGGCAGGCCTTAAACGTGCCATCCTCCTGCCTTAGCTTCCTGATTTCAGGTGTGCATAACCATGCCTGGCAAATTTTTCCTCCTTTTCAATCTGTATATCTCTATTCTTAAGAAGCAAACATGTTTACCTGAAACCTATAGCTAGTTGACTTTAAAAACTTTTAATTAGCTTATAAATTTGTAACAACCTTATGACTAGTTTGCTAATATTTCACTTCGGCCAACTTCCAATCAGCTTTCCAGATCACTGCCATCGTGATGGTGTTAAAATGGGAATTTGATAATAGTATGCCATGAACTTCCCCAGCACTTTCCCATTGTTCTGAGGACAAATATCACCTTCCTACTCCAGCTGAACCCATCCATTTACACTCTTTAAATCCACCAGTGGAGTCTTGTTTGTAGGACAGTGACAATGCTGTTTACCTTGGCCTGCCACTCCATACACAGCTCCTACTGTCCTTTTAAAAATCCTAATTAGTAACCTAGTGAGGGCCTAAGAAATTTAGTGAGATCTTGTCTCAAACTAAAAAATAAAAAGAAATGGGGATGTGGTACAGTGGTTAGGCACCCCTAGGTTTAATACCTAGTACCAAAAAAAAAAAAAAAAAAAAAAGAATTAGAGGAAGTCATCCTATTTGGGTACATGCTGGGTTGCACCTGAGTTGGTGGCCCTTAAGTAGATTACAATCTGTATTCCAGCTCCCTGTCATCCAGTGATCAGAATACAAAGCTCACCTATTTGCAGCCACCCTGGAAAAGCCTCCTTATTTTTATGGCCCCAGCATGACATCACTTTACTTCTTCATGTGTATCATGATCAGAGTTTCTTAGGTACTCATGTTACTATTCAGTTGATGCCTGTATCTTTCCCCAGTTATGTGAAGGTAAAACCATATCTGTTTTCACCCATTATTATATTCCTAGCATCTAACACAAAACCTGGCACAGCTTCAATAAATTCTTGGGGAAGAAATTAATTCTTAAGTTGCAAGAATTTTTTAAAATAGCATTTCTATATAAGAGTACAAATTGAAACGATGCTTTAATCAAGAAACTATGACTAAGGATAAAATATTAATGTAATAAAAAGTCAACATTTGACTCCTTATTAGTAACAACAAATGTGCTTTTCTCCTCTGCTAACAGAACATACCTTGCCAGTAAAAACTTCCAGGTCCTCCTACAATGAGGTCTCCATTCTACAAAACAGAAGCAGCAACGGAAACAACAATTGGAAAAGAAACACTGAGAAACTTTCAGAGCGATAAATCATTGCTAATAAGCACTGCTCTAACAATTTGTTCTCATTAAAAAACGAGTTTTCAAAGAGGTCCTTGTATCAGAGGCCTGCAGGTCATTTTCTTTCCTCTTTTAATTTCCTTTCAATATTTAGTATGTGATTAAAGAGTGGTAATATGACTCAGGTAAGTTGAACTTCCTCCCTTGAGAATATATAAATTCAGATTTTGGCACTGCCTCTGGTAAACAAAACATCTGCCTGTTTAATGCTGTACGATTTAGCAGGCATGGTCTTTGGAAAAGCCTTGATAATAAAAGGAAAATTATGTCCTGATTTTTTTTCAAGGCCATAGTAATGCCTGCTTTATTTTCTCATATATCTGCAAGCCTAACCCCTTCTCAGGAAAGAAAGAAAACTCTCCAGACTAAAAAATATAAATATATTTTCAACTGCATACAGTCCCACTTTTGGTACCCTAAATCTGTAAATCCCAGTGGGGGAAAAATTAATACAAAACAACAAAGTCTTGACAAAAAATACAATGAACAGACAGTCAAACAACATATGTTGAGGAAAAATTTCTACTGTATTTCTATTTCAAAACCCTAGAATGTCTGTCCTCAAGTACTAGTACTAGACATCTGTGTTTTTAATTTTGTAAAAGGATATGTGAATTTTCATATTTAACCAAATCAATCAGTCCCAGCTAAGAGATTAAATAATTTATAGATTCTTCTGATCATTTTAGAAATATATTTTTCCCTGAGTTTTTGAGATTTTCATTTAAAAACAATTGCTACAGGGAATAGGAAAGAAGATGATTGCTTTTCCTGGTATTCCTATACATATGTCATTATATGTGGTTTTATCAGTAAATTGTTATGTGCATAGATTCCTTAACACAAATAAAGAGTAAATGGAAAAATAATCTTATATTGCCAGACATGAATACATAGGTACCTAAAGGTTCATTGGTTGTTGCTATTGTTGAGGGGCATGGGAGGGAAAGAGGGTTAAACAGCAACGAACCACATGAAATATTAGAGACTGCAAGACTAAAAAAATTCACCTTATAAAAATCCAGACTAAATCCTGCTTGGCAGTAACCTTGGCCTTCAGGATCGGCATTGCCTGGAAGGATCAAGATATATAAGGGTTATAACATCATCATTTCTAAGATATATTTTAATAACCAATTCCAGATATTTTGTTGTTTTCTCTATAGATTTCTAAACCTGAAATAATTAATATGTGCTTTACTTTAAAAATTCATTCCAAGTAATTTATTAAATATGTTCCACATATTTTCTGATTCTAAACATCATTGTGATTTATAGTAAGAGCAATAGAAATAATATCTTTTTGGATCTACTGCTCACCTAGAGTACTGACTATTCTACACTTAGGGAATACAGCAAAAAAAAAAAAACAGAGTTAAATTGGGTTTTACAAATCATGTTCATTGGAAGAACTAAAATCTCCACCTTTAATCTATCTTTCTAATTGCCCTTGTGACAGTAACCTCTCATCTTTGTCTGCTCCTTCTCATACATCTGCCATTCCTAACAGGAATGCCTGGAGAAAGATCACCTGTGTTCTTGCTTTCTGCTGGGGGAACACCAAAAAGGATTTCCATTTCTGTGCTTTTCATTAGGAACCGAACTTAAAATTTTTTTATTGTTAGGTAAATTGGCAAATTCCATTTCTGATTGCAATCACTCTCACAGGGACACTTCAATGCTGATGTTCGTCAAAGAGAACACTCTCTAGGAATGGTTGTTTTGTATTCAGTGTTATTCACTAACAGAATGTCCAAAAATATCTCACTGTACACTTATGTAAATTACACACAGACCAATAGAAGGATTCTAATAATTTTATTACCAGAAGTCTTTATGGCATTAAGATTAGATTACTGCTCATAACTTGTACTTTAAGCACTTCTAAAATGCTTGAATTATAGCTAACATGTAGTTAACTAGGGGAAATCTTAATAGTTAACATAGCTAGATATGGGCCAGGTGTGGTGGCACACGCCTATAATCCCAGCAGCTTGGGAGGCTGAGGCAGGAGGATGGAAAGTTTAAAGCCAGCCTCAGCAAAAGCAAGGTGCCAAGCAACTTAGTCAGGCTCTGTCTCTAAATAAAATACAAAATAGGGCTGGGAATGTGGCTCAGTGGTCGAGTGCTCCTGAGTTCAATCCCCCACTACCAAAAAAGAATGTGTGTGTGTGTGTGTGTGTGTGTGTGTGTAGTGCTAGATATGAACATGCTATTAATTACTTGTTTTTTAATCAAGAATATTCCAGAATGAAAACTGAAATGAGAGGGCAGGAAAGGAAACAAATACACATCATCACAGGAAACACTCACAGGTTGGATGTGTGCCTATTCTAGATGCTTTCTGAAATGGATATTGTCCTTCCAGCTTTTCCTAGAATATCTTCCATTTCCCCCCACCCCCTGCCTTTGGTCAGTACTTAGCTAATTTTAGTACTGTCATCATCAGTTTCTCCAGATGCTCTCCCTCTTTTTTTAATTTATTTTTTTTTTACATTTTCAAGTTATCTACCATATACAACATATTGTGACAAAATTCTTTCCTTCTTTTTTTAAAAAAATATTTTTTAGTTATAGATGGACACAATACCTTCATTTATTTATCTTTATGTGGTGCTGAGGATCGAACCCAGTGCCTCACCCATGCTAGGTGAGTGCTCTACCACTGAGCCACAACCCCAAACCCTCTTACTTCCTTTTATAATCATATTTTGTGGCATACGGCTATGAATTTTATTTAGTTCCATAAAAGTTCATCTGTATAACCTCTGGGTACTGGTTTTCTAGAAAGTCATGGGTGTAAATATTCATACACATCTAGAAATATATGTGCATGCATGATAGACTACTATGTGAATCTACATGTGTTAATCTCAATATGTTTAAGAAATGTATTCTTAAATGCATAAACCTTTTTCTTTTTCATTAGAATTATACATAATAGTGGGACTCTTTATGACATATTCACACGTGTACAAAATATGGTCCATTTAATTCCTTAGTACCTCTTTTTCCTACCTTACTCCTTTACCTGATCCTCTTCCTCTACTGGTTTCCCTTTTGTTTCTTTTTTACATTGGAAGGCACAAACCTTTTTTTAAAAAAGTCAACTATTCCTTTTAATATTGTCAAATATTCAACAGGAAAGGAACATGATCATTCTTGGAAGCTATTTTGCTTTAAAACAAGAAACTGAAAAAGATGAAGAAAAAACACTAATTTTTTTAAAAAAATTCATTGAGAAAATAACCAACTTCAAATGTTTATTTTGAGTGGCAACTGGAGTAGCTTGTGAAGTCCTTTCATCCACAAAGCCATTTCTCTTTTCTTGTTGAATTATGATTTATTGGAAGAGCTGAAGGCATCCTTCTTCCTGGAATTTCAGAATGTCTCTGAACTTTATAATTACGTCCCAGTGAACTCAGGAATGTGAGGATGGATGCTGTTCATTTGCTACTAGTTTTTGGCATCCAGAGTAAAATGGGAGAGTGTGTGTCAACTCTCGTCACCTGAATCATGAATAACTGTTAGAGCTGAAGATGTGACATCCATATGAATGAACAGGTTAGTTCCCACATTGCTCACAGTTGTGGAGTGGGTTTGTGGTGCGGAATGAACAGAAGTGATTCTTTAAATTCTCTTTTGAAAATAATATTGCTGATGTTCCTGTTCTGTGATATTGACCATATGCTCATGAACAAGCTGGCTTTGTGTTAATGAACTGTGAATTTCTTAGCCATGACAGGAAGTCTGCTCTTTGGATGACTAAAAGAGGAAGAAGTACAAGTAGGAATAGGGAGCCCCTGAGGATGTGAAGACTATGGGTTGTATTAGAGTCCAAAAAATTCTTGGCCATTTACTTAGCTATTCTGCGACTCAGCCTGAACTCCATTTTTGCCTTTGTTCCATTACTCTTCTATTTAGGAAAATAAAGAATAAATAAATTGGCACCATAAAGAAGCTCAAGATTGAGTGTCTGTAATTTATATTTAAATAATGCTTCAACCTCACACTGAAACTTGTGCCCCACAAGACTAGATTCTATGGGCTGTATGAGCTCTCACATCACATGGGCAGTCAGGCAAAGGGGCAGAACAAGAAGTAGGGACAGGTTTTACAAATGATCACCCTTGATGTCAGCTGGAGGAATAAGACGTGTCATCAAGGCAAAAGGCGTGCAAAGATAGGCTCAGCTTTTAATTACAAAAAAAAAATGTGTAATTTGGGGAAGCATCTGTAGCCATCATGAAAAATGTGCTATGGATAGGTATAAGCAATGATAAAACAAGTTCAGCATTGAATCTTTTGGGCTTAACAACACTGACCTCTTGCCAAACCCAAGAACCAAGCACCTGAGTGGAAGGTGAGCCATGCTAACCTCTTCTTGACTATGGCCTGTTCCTGGGAAATTCCTCCCCTCACCATCCCAACTACCACTTGCTAAAAGAATTTCTCCCTATTGTCCTGTCTAAGGAGCCCCCTTCTACCTGTCCCTCCAGGCTTGGGTCATGCCTCTCTCTCTTGCCTTGCTGTTTCAAGGCATTTTTCTCTACCTGATATGATATTTGAATTTATTTATTGATATGTTTGTTGTTTGTTCTCTATCTCTTCCACTGAAGTGTCAGTTCCTTGGACACAGGGTTTTTTTTTCTCTTATTCTTTGATGTATCCCCTAACTGTAGAATGGGTAGTGCTAATGTGTTCAATAAATGTGTTGAATGAATAAATAATGAAATCTTGTTATCCACAAAGAACCCTCCGTATAGCTGTTTAAAACGAAGTCCTTATTCCACAGATTATTTATTTAGCTGACATTTAGAAAATCATTTTCCTCATCAAAACCCATCAGAGTTAAAAATAAATTTCACTTTCAGGTGTAAAATTCAGTGGCCTCTCTCTTAATCCAATTGTATTTTATTTAGAGACAGGGTCTCACTGAGTTGCTTAGCACCTCGCTTTTGCTGAGGCTGGCATTGAACTTGTGATCCTCTTGCCTCAGCCTCCCAAGCTTCTGGGATCACAGGCATGTACCACTGTGCCTGGTTTTATTGTTTATTTTGAAACAGGGGCTCACTAAGTTCCCAATAATCTTGAATTTTAGAAATATTTATGCAAAATGAGGAAGATTCACTTGTAATTTTCAGAGTTAAACTAACTCTGGATTGAGATTTTTTAAAAAAACATATACTGAAATCAGTCTCTAGAAAGTTCTTTCCAATGACATTTTTCCCCATCAATGTCATTTGCTGAATTAATAAGAATAAGAGTAAAAACACCATTGGTCGCTTATCTACAAAAACCAGTAATCTACTTGGCACTTAGAAAATGGAGGTGTTCCCAAAAAACTCTGAGCAGATGATCAGTCAGTCCATCCACCCATCATGCCATCTCAGAGTCCTTGGGTATTCTACAAAATAAAGGGATTATACAGCAATGTCCCCCAAGTGGCACTCACAGGCTTCCTTTAAAACATGCTTTGTTAGAAGATTTCTAGAACTGCAGGGGAGATTTGGACTCTTAAGTGTACAGCGTCTTCACTGAGGGAAAAAATGGTGGTAGTGCTGGTTGTGGGGAATGTAACACCTTAAGGAGAAAAGTGTCTGTCAATCAAAGCAACAGCCCCTGAGAACACAGGCCAGACAGAACGCTGATGCTGAGCTGGGCCCAACACCATGGCTGCCATAAACAAGCAGAATGGGCAGCCACCTTCTTTAGAATACTGGGTAAAATTTAAGCAGCAACTGACAGTTTCAGACCTAAAACAGGGAACAAATCAATTCTACTGCAGAATATCTAATAACTGAATTTCCAAAAACATAGAAAAGGATCAGCAGAATTCTGAACGTTGGCCTCCCTATCATAGCAAGACATCCTGCAAAGCTGTCGATAATCTACACCTTCCTCCCTTTCCCCTGTAATGTTACAATGTATCCCTGGTATTTTTTTTTTTTAATATTTGTTTTTTAGGTGTAGGTGGACACAACACAATTCCTTTATTTTTAAGTGGTGCTGAGGATCGAACCCCGGTCCATGCCCGTGCTAAGCAAGCGCTCTGCCACTGAGCCACAACCCCAGCCCCCATTGGTGTTTTGAATTTACCTGCACTCCTATCTATCATAGAAAAGCCATCGAGCTAGATTTCAGTTTCAAGGGATACAAATAACTTACTGTTCCGACAAGGGGAGTACTCAGCATAGGCACTGAAATTCTGAATTGCCACGTAGCAAGTGCCAACCGGGTCTTTTTCTGGTGTTGGTTTAAGAGTTCTCCAATGATATAAAGGAGCACAGGCCTAGGAAACATCAAAGATAGTAAAAATATTTCTGATGTAGTTTTCTATTTATTTCTTCCCCACATTTTTATTGGTACATAATAGTTGTACATATTGATGGGATTTGTTGTTACATATTTGCACATACACACAATATAACAATAAAATTTGGCCAATATCTTTTCCCAGCACTTCCCCCTTCTCTCCTCAAGGTAGTTTTTTTATACAATAGTTTGACTTGAATTTTCTATTAGTGTACCTAAAGTTAGGACATACTATTCTAAATTGTCAGTTGAATTAATTGGCCTTCATCATCCTAGTGAGTCCTTGGTTGACAGAGTTAATTAAACTTGCCAAGCTGCTTTTTAAGATTAATACACAGTAACTGCCAAACATTAAACGTACAAAGGAATGACCCCCTCCACAGAATTTTAAATTTAAAAAAAGTAACATGGCAAAAGAAAATTACTTCCTAAAAGCAAATAACTTGTATTTTCTATTCATTTCGTTTTTAAAAAAATTGAACCTACAAGACAGCTAATGATCAAAGGATGCACACAAGTTTATAAACCTCTGTTTGGTGGATTCCCATAGTTGCTTCTTATGAATGTTTAAATAATGACTTCCATCTAGACATACTACCTCCTTATCACAGTGTTTTGGGCTTTATTTTCACTCATTGTTTTTTTATGCACAGTAAAACTGAAGGCAAGAGACAGCATCTTATGCCTATTTCAGCAATTTTATGAGAAGTAATCAAAAAGTCATTTAAAAAGCACATGTTGGGGCTGGGGCTGTAGTTCAGTGGCAGAGTGTTTGCCTTGCATGTGGGTTCCATCCTCAGCACCACATTAAAAAAAATACACAAATAAAGTCATGCTGTCCATCTACAATTTTTTAAAAAAGCACATGTTAATGACCTATAAGTATTTCCAAAGCATAACATTGAATGTAAAGTAATTCAACAATCTGACTCTGCTTGTTATGGAGAAATTTATTCTGATAAACTCTAAAGGCCACAGACAATCTTTTTGAAGGAGCCAAGTTATCAAAGTCATTCCATAAATGCACTCTCAATTCTAACAAGGCAAAACCCCAAAAGGTTAGAAAAGAAGCATACATGCTTATTTCTAGCTCACCTATAGAGTGGTAAATTTGATAAGGGTGCATGTTACACTTGCTCTCACACTGGAGACTCTTTTGGAATTTATGAAACTGCCAACAGCACTTAACACAAAGCTTTTCATGTAGATGTTTCTTAATAAATGCATGTTAAATTAAATTAAATGCATGCCCACTAAATAGAAATTGAAACATAATTTTACAATATTAAAATATTTTGTGTTAGTTATTACATCTTTGTTTTTATGATAACAAATTTGTCATATTAGAAACTTATCTGATGCTTCATCCACTTGTTCTAATTTTAAGAATGCTCCTCTGGAGAAAATAAGACATTTATTAGAGTCTTCCTTATGGTGCTGCTTCTAGGACTTGCCTTTGAATTAGCTCACACAATATTAGGAATTTTATCAACAAAAAATAATTTAAACATCAATAAGAAAAATGTGGTTTTTTTAAAATGACATGCTCTGGTTTCTTCTTCAGAATTTAGATTCTAACAAGGGCATAATATTTAAAAGGATAGAAATGAAATCCTCTTTAAGTTAAATAACATTAATGTTGCTAAGAATGAGAGAGGCAGTAAATGTGTACAAAATATAGGCAGCTTTTTTGACTTCTGTTTTGCTAGCTTGAATTGATTGCCCAAGCCTCATCCCTAAGGACACAGAAGTGCAGAATCCTAGAAGGTGGAGCTACTAGGCTATCTTCTAATGAGAAGTGAAGACATACTGATTTTAAAGTCATCTTCTGCTTTTAAATGTATCCTTCATAATCTAGTCCAATATATACTTTTAGCAGAGACAACCCATATTTTCAATCCAATCCTTTCTACAACTTTGGCTGTGTAGTTTTGTTTTCCTATACAGTATAAAGCCTTGCTAGTGCCCCTAAAGTCTCCAAGGCATCTAGGCTCCCTTGTCTTAGGGCCCTCTCAGTTACTTGGTTAATAAATTCAAGGTATAATAAATGCAAGGTATAAATGTTGAAATACAGGGGGAGTTGGGACAGTGAAAAGAGTCACCTGTAGGCCTGATAGTATCCAGTGCTTGCCTGATGTCCATTCTAAAAAGTTACTATAGATAATATAGATATAGATATTATCTCTCTATATATCTGCTTAATTTCACTTATATGATATGTTTAGGTTTTGATTCAAGTCCAATGTGTACCCATGATACCCGGGTATTCAAGATGATCCTTTTTTTGGGGGGGGGGATTATTGAGGATTGAACTCAGGGGCACTCGACCCCTGAACCACATCCCCAGCCCTATTTTGTATTTTATTTAGAGACAGGGTCTCACTGAGTTGCTTAGCTCCTGGCTTTTGCTGAGAGTGGCTTTTAAAACTTATGATCCTCTGGTCTCAGTCTCCCAAGCCCTTGGGATTACAGGCATGTGCTACCTTGCCCAGAAAGATGATCCTTCTGTAGGCAGATTTTATATAATTAATTATCGAACATTGCTAGTTATTAATTTTAATAATTGTATCACATAGGGTAGAATTTAATTCTTCATTCTGCTAAGTTTTAGCACTCAAAAAAAAAAGATTAACTGGAAATACACTTTACACTATTCTCTTTTTCATCACATAATTTAAAAAATGCAATCATATCAAAAATAAAACATTCTTATCATGAACATATTATATATTGTATTTCCAATGGTTTTGGAGGTTTCTAGAAATATTGAATACATGTGCAACAATTGTGTGCTACAGATAAAATTTCAAGACTCCAAAAAATAAAGTACCCAAAAGATATTTTGAATTCCAAACAATTATTAGGATGGACTTAGTTTTTCAATAGTAATTTTCATAAGCCATATATTACTAAAGAATAAAAAGATCTTATTAATTCTGGAAGAAAACTATATAAATGTAAAAACTATATAAAGTGCATTGTAAATGCTGTATTTCTAACTAAAGAAGACAACCTATATATATTTTGCATGTCCTCTATTTATGTAAAAAATCTTTTGGGGGAGGTTAGCCACAGAATAAATAAAACTTTTAGATATTTATTCTCACTAAACTGTAATTTAGGTATTTATTCTTTAGATGTTTATTCTTAATAAACTATAATTCAAATACCTTTAAACAAATTCTAAAATCCAAAATTATTTCTTTATTGTTGAAGAGAAATTAAAGCCAACAAGTTAAAAAAAATCCCTAACCCCCCCAAATTCAGATTAATTCAATGGTTACTTATTTCTCAACAACTTAGACATGTATTATTGTGTATCAACAATAAGAATAGGAATTATAGTCACAACAGTTTAAAACTAAAAGATATCTATTTGAGAGTTTTCAGTACAAAAACATTAATGAAATCACAAAATCAGGTAGTTAGTAGTTTCTAACATTTTTATATTAAAGAAAGCTTGACTTTTATTCGAAAAAGAATCAGTGATAACTGGTGTAGATTGTTTAACATCCCTAGAGGAGTGCTCTTGTTTTTCTGTTCAGATTTTAGACAGATCTTTAAATCTTAATCAATAAAATACTCTCCTGAATAATAAGCCCTTATTTTTTCATATTTCTTAGTCATTTTTAAAATATGTGAAAGTATCTAACTGCTCTTTTGGGAAACAAGCTTCATTTCCCATAGTTTTGAACACTAAACTACATTGTTTAATTTTAAGCACTAAAGTTCTTTAGAAGCCAATACTTTAGCTTTGAGAGTGTAATAAGTTCCCGGGTAATGGGGTTTTTCTAAATATGAGCATTACAACATTTCTGTGCACCTGCTATTCCAAAGCAACACCACAATCACACAATTTGTACTCACCACAACTTTCCCTTTGTGAGCTTTCACTGTTGCTCCAAACCACTGATTCGATTTAAACTCTATAGGTTCTTTGGTTCCGTTAACTCTGATCTTTCTGTTGTCTGACAAGGAGGATATCAATTATTAATAATTTGTAAAATTTGTCATCCAGTTAAAATACACAGTAATAAATTTGTGCATTCAAACACCAGAAGAACTAATACTAATCCTTTTTAAACTTTTCCAAAAAAAAATTGAAGAGAAGAGAATATTTCCAAGGACCAGCATTACCCTGGTACCAAAATCAGACAAGGACACTCCAAGAAAAGAAAATTATAGGCCAATATCCATGGTGCACACAGATGCAAAAATTCTGAACAAAATACTAGTAATCCAGATTAAACAGCACATTAAAAAGACTATTCACCATGATCAAGTGAGATTTATCCCTAGGATGCAAGGGATAAAGTTTCAATATATGCAAAACAATAAACATGCTACATCATGTTAATAGAATAAAAGAAAAAACATATGATCATCTCAATAGGTGCAGAAAAAAGCATTTGATAATATTTATCCTTTCATTGTAGCAACTCAACTTTAAACATATTAGGTATTAAAGGACCATACCTTAACACAATAAAGGCCATTTATCACAAGCCCATAGTTAATATCATATTCAATGATGAAAAGTTGAAGGAACAGGATAAGGATGCTCACTATTGCCATTTCTATTCAACATAGTATTAGAAGTCTGACCAGAGCAATTGGGCAAAAAAAGAGAAATAAAAGGAATGTAAATCAGAAAATAAGAAATTAAATTGTCTCTGATCTCTGTTTTCAGATAACATGGTCTTATATACACAAAACTCTAAAGACTGCCAAAAAATGTTAGAAATAATAACCAAATTCAGTAAAATTGCAGAATGCAAATTTAACATACATACTCAGTAGCATTTCTATACACTAACAATAAACTATACAAAAATAAGGTCAAGAAAATCAAACCCATCAAAATAGCATTAAAAATACTTTGGAATAAACTTAATGAAGAGCTGAAAGATCTATACATTGAAGACCATGAAACACTGATGAAAGAAACTGAGGAAGACAAAAATAAATGGAAATGTATACTTGGTTCATGGATTGAAAAGAATAAATATTGTTAAAATGGCCATGATAAAGAAAATATGCTATATATACATAGTGGAATTTTTCTCAGCATTAAAAGACGATAAAATCATGGCATTTGCAGGTAAATGGATGGAGTTGGAGAATATAATGCTAAGTGAAATTAGCCAATCCCCCAAAACCAAAAGCTGAATGTTTTCTCTGATATGAGGAGACTGACTCATAATGGGGATGGGGGTGGGGAAAGCGTGGGAGGAATAAATGAACTTTAGATAGGGCAAAGGGGAGGGAGGGGGAGGAAGTGGGCATAGGGATAGGAAAGAAGGTGGAATGAGATGGACATCATTACCCTAAGTACATATATGAAGACATGAATGGTGTGACTCTACATTGTGTACAATCAGAGACATGAAAAATTGTGCTGTATATATGTACTATGAATTGAATTGCATTCTGCTGTTATACATAACAAATAAATAAAATTTAAAAATAGCCATGATACCAAAAGCAATCTATAGATTTAATACAATCCCTATTAAAATTTCAATGAGGAAAGCAGTATAGAGATTCCTAAGAAAACTTGCAATGGAACCACCATTTGACTATCCCACTCTTTGGTCTATACACAAAGGACTTAAAATCAGCATACTATAGTGATGCAGCCACATCAATGTTCAAAGCAGCTCAATTTAAAATAGCTAAACTGTGAAAACAACCTAGATGTCCTTCAACAGATGAATGGATAAAAATAACTGTGGTATATATACACAATGGAATATTACTAAACATTAAAAGAGAATAAAATTATGGCATTTGCAGGTAAATGGATGGAGCTGGAGAGTATCATGCTAAGTGAAGCAAGCCAATCCCAAAAAACTAAAGGCCAAATGTTCTCTCTGATAAGTGGATGATGATTCATAATGGGGGTGGGGGAGTAAAGGGGGCAGGATGGAGAAACTTTGGACCAAGGGGAGGAGGGTAGGGGAGGAGGCATGGTGGCAGGAAAGATAGTGGAATGAGATGAACATCATTACCCTGGGTACATGTATGACTGCACATATGGTGTGCTCTACATCATGTACAACCAGAGAAATGAAAAGTTGTATTCCATTTGTAAACAACGAATTGAAATGCATTCTGCTGCCATGTATTAGAACAAACAAAAGAAAAAGGAAAAGCAATCGTAAAATTCATATTGAACTTACAAAAGACACCAAATAGCCAAAGCAATCCTAAACAAAGAGAACAAAGCTGGAGGCATCACACTACATGACTTTAAAATACAGTATATTGCAAAGCTACAGTAATCAAAATAACATAATATATAAAAACAGGCACATGGACCAATGGAATAGAATAGAGAGCCCATAAATAAATCCCAAAACTTAAAATCAACCAATCTTTAATAAAGGTGCCGAAAACACACAATAGGTAATGGATAGCCTCTTTAATAAGTGCTCTTGGGACAACTGGATATCTACATGCAGAAGAACCTTTATCTTACTCTATATACAAAAATCAACTCAAAATGGATTAAATACTGAATTTGAAGATTTCATACTGTAAAACTAGTAAAAGAAAACATGGGAGGAAAGTTTTTTTGATATCGGTCTTGGCAAACATTTTTTGGACATCACCCCCCCAAAACAGAGGCCACAAAAGCAAAAATAGGCAAATGGGATTGCATCAAATTATAATGCTTCTATAGAGCAAAGAAAACAACCAAGAGTAAAGAGACAACCTATGGAATGGAAGAAAATACTCACCGTCCATACATGTGATAAAGGTTAATACCTAAGATATATAAGGAATTCAAGGAGCTCAATAGCAAGAAACACATAATCCAGTTATAATCTAAGCAAAGGACCTGGATAGGTATTTCTCAAAAGCAAAGGGTGAACAAGAATATGAACAAATGCTCAACATCACACTGATCATCGGGGAAATGCAAATTAGAACTATAATGAGGTATCACCTCACCTTAGTAAGAATGGCTATTACTAAAAAGACTAAACAAACGCTGGCAAAGATGTGGAGAAAAGGGAATGATGGCACATTGGCGATGGGAATGCAAACTAGTACCACCCTTATGGATAGGAGTGAGGAGTTAAAATACTTCAAGTTAAAAAATAGAACTACAACATGCTCAAGCAATCCCACATCTGAGTACATATCCAAAGGAAATAAAATTAGTATGTTGAAGAGATCTCTACGCTCCATGCTCATCGCAACATATTCACAACAGCCAAGATATGGAATCATCTTAAGTGTTCACCAATGGAATAATGGATATGGAAAATGTGACACATATACACTTGGGATGCTAATTAACCTTAAGAAAGGGAATTCTTTTATTTGTGGCAACATGGATGAACTGGAGGTACATTTTACTAACGTATATTATAACATAAGCCAGGCACAAACAGACAAATAGTGCATGGTCTTGCTTATGTGTGGAATGTAAAAATGCTGAAATTACAGAAGCAGAGAGTAGAATGATGTTGATCAATGTGTGAAAAGTTTGTTAGGAGGTATAACTTTTGGAAATCTATTGTGCTGTGTGTGACAACAGTTATTATAATGTGTACTTGAAAACTGCCAAGAGAACAGTAAATGTTTTCACCTCAACAACAATAAAAAAGTAACTGTGTTAGATGGTGGATAGATTAATTAGCTTGCTTTAATTGTTCCACAGTATATACATATATCAAAATACCTTGTTGTACACTGTAAATATATACAATTTTATTTGTTAAATTAAAAAATACTTAAAACTAATTTCCATACACAAGGGTGATTTCTCTTTAAGTCCAAGATAGAGGATGACTTTCACTACATCAATACAGAATGAAAATACATACATGACATTTCACAACTTAAAAAAATATTTTCTCATGTTTTACATCTTAGAGCTAACCATACCTGAAACTTAATGTGGACTCTGGTAGTCTTGAATCTACTCTTCTATTAGAAATTAAATTGTTGATTTGTTTCAGATAGAAGACCAAATGATTATAACTGCTTTAAAAAATTCCAAACCACAAGATTCTCTCTGGTCTGAAAAGCACACAATTTCTCATCATTGGACAGCAGGAGCCAGCATCAAGCATGCCAAAGCCTTATTTCTTAACTGAGTAATGTGTCCACACAGCCACCAAAGATGACACTCCAACACAATTTTACACGTACTTCACAGGGATCCTCATGAAAGGAATCAGCTGGGGAGAAGCTCCTCCCAATTATAATCCACTTCAAGTCTTAAACAAAGGCAAATATCTTTATTCACTGTTGTTTCCCAATCAACTGATTCCCCACACAGTTATAAGTGCACTGTTCTAACAGGAGTGTCATCAATAATAGTTGATGAGTTTCTAAAGACATTGGTACTAGCTGGGTGTGGTGGGACACACCTGTAATCTCAGCCACTTGGGAGGCTGAGGCAAGAGGATTGCAAGTTCAAGATCAGCCTCAGCAATTTAGTGAGGCCCTAAGCAACTAAGCAAGACCCTGTCTCTAAATAAAATACAAAAAAAGGGCTGAGGATGTTGCTCAGTGGTTAAGTGCCTCCTGAGTTCAATCCCTGGTACAAAAAACAAAACAAAACAAAACAAAAATGGTTCTAGGTCCTCTTATTTACATGTCTCCTTTCATATGTGTTTTATTTTTCTTCCTTGATTCTATCATAAATACATTACAAAATGAACTTTTGACTCTCCATTAGATAAGGCCAAAATAAATGTCATTAAACCTTCAACTATGTATATGTATGCTTATAGACTTTTAAAAGAATAATTTATATATATTCAGTCTTACCCTATACTCAATATTTTGATATCTTTGTAGAAAATAATTAATTTCCTTCTTAAAATTTGTATGCTTTTGATTGGACATTAAAAAAAACCCAACCAACCAACCAACCAACCAACCAAACAAACAAAACAAGCTCTGGATATCTTCACCCAAAATTGCACACACTGGCAAAGAAGAAGGG